TTTATCCGTATCGTTAATTTAAAAGTTCAAAACAAATGTACAAAACGCGTTCGCGGAGAAATGTCAATCCCAAACCTGTTTTGAACCGCGCATGCGTAGTTGATAAATCAGTTATTTGTCGCGGATTTGTCAGGGGTTAGTCAGGGATCGCTACCGCGAACAAAGCTAGAAATTAACCAGTGTCGTAGTCAGTCGTAGTCTTTGTCATCGACAACATACAGTTACGGCAGCTTTGAGTCAGTAGCGTGCGGCTTAATTTATTTCATTCTTTTCTTGAGTGATATATTTTGTTTTTTTTATTGTGTGATATATTTGGTTTTTGTAGTTTAGTAGTACAATGGAAGTCCGAGATTCTTTTAGTTTTAATACTCAATCATTGCCTCTACGGCATTCAAAGTCATTTTTATTATTAGGTATCCTGCAAAATGACAAACGAGATTCATTTCTACATTACTGTTTTTCTGATTATCCGTATCTATTTTTAATTTTTATGGATAGCTCATGACAATTCAGAGAGAAAAGAACAGAGGTCTTGTTGTTTTTTATAATAAGGTCTGCCGTTTTTAATAAGATGTTTGCGAGATCATTTTGACAATTTTCACTACCAGTGTGTAATATTCGGACACAAAGTTTTTTAAAAGTTCCTCTAAACTGGATGAATTTATCCTGGATGGGAATAATGATAGGTTTACAAGATATTGAAATTACAAGAATTACAAGATAAAGTTGTCGTACCAGATTTTTATGAGTGCAACTGTATACTCAAATCTCGCGACAAGCTTTTATATAATATAAAATTGTGTAATGACGTATCAGTTCATAATAAAATTTTAAAGAAAAAGTTATTTTTTTTTCTTTTTAATGTATTTAAATAAAAGCTTGTTTTTAAAAAGGTTTTTTTCTTAAATTTATTTTTTACTTTTTAAACACTTAAACTCAATTCTTTTTCTTAAATAACTTCCTATGGGCATCCTAATAATATGTATATCGATTTTCATTAAAAAAGAGAACTTAAAAAAAACGACAGCTGTCAAATTTGACAGTTCAAATGCGAGGCAAATAAAATGAAAACCGACTATGGAGTAGGGAGCATCCAATATATCGATTTTTATCAAAATCGGAGAACTTTGAGATTTTTTTGACAGCTGTCAAATTTGACAGCTCAATTTTTTTCTTTCATTTTAACCCATGGCTATCCTATATATTGATTTTTATCAAAATCGCAAGAAAATGTATTGTCATCGGGACTGAACCTACATGCCAAATTTCAAATTTCAATTTCCTACAATGAAAGGAAGTGCTTCTAATTGAGCGTACAAGATTTGCCCCGAACAAACATACATACAAAGCAAGTTAAATAAAAGCTTGTAAAATAAGCTAGGGCCCTATTCCCATTGGTAAAGATATCTCTTACCATATAACAACATTAGACACCCGAGCTGGTTGAAACTCTCTGTTCCCCTTCCGGTCCTCAAAACCTACAATATTACCGACCACTATTATAAAACAAATTGCACTTGATATTCATATCATCAATACATAGAACACAATATCGATTAAGTTCATCCGGTTCATCGAAACTTTCAACTTTTCTTTTTCAGAGTCTCAAATAGACTAAGATTTTCTAAGCCAGGTTTGATATCGATGTCATATATTCACTATCTTAGTGTCTCTGGGTCTCTGGACGTGGAAGGCAAAATAGATTTGTCAAGAGCGTCTTGTAAATTTTTGGTCCGGAAAAGTCTATAGCCAAACATTTATATTTAAATTCATCAGTTTTCTTCCTTTAGCTGATTTGTTAATTTGTGCAATTTGAATATTAACAAAATTTGCTATGTCCATTAATGGACATAATTTGTACGTAGCCCCTTTAGATTGTTCAATAGATATTTTATTGGGTATTTCTTTAATTCTTGTTTGTAACTCCTGGCATGTTTTTTAATTTTAATTGTCTATTCTCTACAGTTAAATGTTTAATTGATTTTTTCGTTTTTACTTTTCGGGGAGTATGCGCGGTTAACGATTCATTTGTTTAGATAAAAGTATTGTTTAAATAAAATTCAGTTTCAGTCAATTACAGTTTTTTTTAGTACGACCCTGTCTAATCAATAGTTTATTTTCTCTTTGAATAAGAAGACTAAGGAAGGAGCATAATGCTATCCATGTATTCATGCATGGTGGGCGGAAAAGGCACCATAAAATCTCTCTAGGGTGGGGATCCTTGACAGTTCTGTTTGACGATTCATTTGACACATCTGAATTTGATTTGAAATTTTGTGGATTTGTCAGTCTTTATGGAGCTTATTTTATGTTATTTATTATTTATTCTACTACTGATAGTTGTATATAGGTAGTAAATCTAGATGGAAATTGTGGCAGAACTTAAATTAACAGTGACACTATCGCGATTTATGAAAAAGACTCTAAAATAGTTGGTTGTGTAGCGTGCAGTAGATCTCGCCAAAAATCGAGTGAAATAATGGAACAACTTTTCGCTAGTAAGTGACTATATAATATACATACGTGTAGTAAACCGATCATTTATGAAATTCACTTAAATTAACTAACTATATATTTTTTCTTGCATTTTTGTTTTTATTTACTATACTTGTCAAAGATTAGATGTCAAAGAATTTAGATACGTCAATTTGACTTACCTGCTTCAGTAGCGTATCGGATGTTTGTGTTAATAAATAATTATTAAAACTTATCTATTTTTATTATAATAATATGTTTTTATAACAATTTTAATAACTACCAACATTTATTCACAACGTAAAATAAAACAACAAATTATTGAGTCTACCCCACGTCTACCCTACATCATAGTTTTACATTTTTTAAATAAAATTAGAACGACACTGATAAACCGGAATTTAAGTCGGCCATATTTGAGGCCCATCGCGGTGTACCTAAGATTTTTGATATGCTCCTTCCTTAGTCTTTTTATTCAAAGTATTTTCTGGAAAATTTTTTAATACGTTTTAATCCGGCTCTGACTCGGCACCCATAATGGTGTTTTCAAGGTCAAATTTTATAGAAATTTTAAACAATGGGATCTGGGCAGAGTTAGCCTGCCGTGTGATTTATATGCCGTGGTAGTACCATGTCCTAAAATGCAATAAATCTTCCTAGATTAATCTTATAATATCATGAGCACAGGCAACCCCAAGTCAATTTTGTGAGATGTGTGATCAATTAAAAATCATTTATGATATTTAAAACACTAAAAGAAGCTCTTACTGCTATTCTATCAGTTACTTCATTAAAAACCAGTCAAATAGGACTTATTAACTTGGAAATAAAATGTTAGAAAATCTAATTATTGTTTTGATTGGTCCATATGATGTGTAAAGGTGCGTCCACATTGCTCGCGATCATGCTCGCGCTCTTGCTTCTGATTGCGCTCGCGTTGCTTGCGCTTCCTGTTTGTCGTGTTTCTCAAGATATTTCGGCTCGCATGCAACGGCGTCCATATTGTAATGTAGTTCTTGCGTTCGTGCTCTTTGGACATGGAAGATACCGAAGTATTTTTAATAGCAGCTGCTAGTGTGATCATTATTGCAAACCGAAGGAGACAAAGAGAAAAAAGGCGGTGTTGGATGTCTAATAGTTTCAAAAGTAGATCCCAGCACAGTGAAAGTAAACATCTACGCGATCTACAGACAGCATGTTTTTTAATATTTTTTATCGCATGTCTGTTACTGATTTTGAAAGACTTATTAACTTACTTGGCCCCCGTATAGAAAGAAAAAATACAACTTTTAGGAAGTGTATTCCGGTTAAAGAAAGAGTTAAATAAAGATTGGCCATAACATTGGCCATAAGTAGGCGATATAAATATAGAGTTATATTTTATTAAAGGTATATTTAATATTATTAATCCAAGAACAAAACACAAATATTTGTTATTCTGAGCAAAGTAAAATAAGGAAAATCATAGTAGTATCATCATATTGCAGTAAATACCGAATCCTATGAATAAAACCAAACCAAAATCTTAACAAACAGCGCAAACAGCTCGAGCACTTCGAACCGCCACAAAGTATACTCGCATTACTCCGAACACTCGAAACAGGCATTTTACGAGAGTCGCTAGCGCCGCGAACATCACGCTCCGACTGTTTGCCATGTTTTTCGTGTTTCACGTGTTCGTTCGGTCTGCTCGCGAGTAATAAGGACGCAGCTTAAGAGAAGTATTCTTTATTAAGAGTTTACTTTATTTATTTTAAGGTTTTAAAGTACTTCAACAAGTTTTTCTAAAAATAAAAAAAGAAATGTTTATTCCTCTTCAATTTTTTTAAATTGAATGGGATTTCCTATGGTCAGATCACAGGCAATGCAGCACTCAGTTGATTCCTCCACCGAATATCTCTTTATTACTTACATTTACATGCTCGGGTGTTGATAACACATATACAACAGTATCAGCGACGTCTTTTGCCTTTAATCCAGATCGTTCAAGATAGGCTGGTAGATCCTTGGAATCGTACATTGAGACGAAGAAGTCAGTTTCAACGTAGCCAGGACTGACGCTCTAGAAAAATAAATAATGTTACATTTACCTAAAACTAAAAAAAAATCGGACTTCCATTGTCTTTATTTATTTTGATTGACACAACATTTCGGTCAGAAGGATCACTGACCGTTATTAAGGCTCAACTAATATCAAATATCAAATAATATATTAAGTATCTAATTCCTTAAACTACTGTTTCCGTGAAGAAGTTGAGTGCAGTTAACCGTGAGGTTGTCCACCTAACCTAGAACGCCTGCATTGGTGCGTAGGATTGCTAAAGATGTTATTATTGTTTGCTATAAAAACGGCCTCTTTCATTTATTCGATTTTTCCAATGAGGTTCCCTGTGGACAACCAGAGCTTTCGATCACTTTATACAGGGTGAGTTTCCTACGATGTTGTCTATGGGTATATCGGAAACTACTGGAGATAGAGAGTCGGTTAAATGGGGTAAGAATTATTGCAGTTTTGTGGGGTCAAAAATATGTGCCTCTCAGATTTTCGAAAAAGTTTATGGCTTACTAGATATTTCGAAAAAAACAAATTTCGGCTAGGTTAGATTAGGTCAGGTCAATTAGTTTTAAAAATTGTCCATAATTCCATTATAATCTATTTTAGACAAAAAGTTTTCAGATAAAAGTTGTAGATAATCATATCCCTAATGAGTTTGTGTTCTCTGATTTTTTCTAAAGCCTGTCATTTTTGACATATGACACAAACCTATGTTTTTTTTTTAAATGGAAACCATAGTTGGCCATGACTTCATAAAAAATGCATTTTTTAAGCTTTTCAGCGATATAAGTTATAATATTTTTTTCGAAAAATTACCGAGTTATAGTCAATTCTTATCTTTCTTGACTAGTTTCACTTAGTTGGCATGGTATTTTTATGACTTATAACTTATAAAAAGACAGAATAAGTTCAAAAAAACCGTCATTGTTTTGAATACATAAAATGCATCTTTGACCTGCATATTTTCAGTCAAAAATTGCTAAGCTTGCTTGAATCCCTGCCTATAAAAAGTAAATTAATTTTGTGTGGCGATCTAAATATTGACTTTTCCAGTGTGTGTGCAGCTAGGGAGTCTCTCCAGTCCATTTTTCATTCTTTTGGTATACTCATGCATGTTGACTCACCAACTAGAATAACTAAAACTGGCTCTAGTACTATAGATTATGTCGTGTCGTCTTTTGACCCGGAATTCGTTGACTGTAGAGTCCTTCGCTCAGGTTTCTCTGATCATGAGGTAGTATTGACAACGTTTTTGCCACATTCCAAATGCAAAAATACCTCGCGCAAATTGGGCCGTATTTTTTCGGATAAAAATTTTCTAAATTTTCACCACCTATGTCTAACAACTGAGTGGGTTGTCCTCTCGGCTGACGTCGATTCCGAATTTTCTAGATTTATAAATACCTTGTCTAATCTGGCGTGCAGGCGTTTCCTCTTAGGCCTATCAAAAGTAAGCAAGGTATACCCTGGTCTACGACAGGCTTGCGTATATCTGCAAAGGACATGCGCTCATTATCTCACCTTAAAAAGTTCATAGACAGCGTTTTCTTTCATAATTACGTGAAACTTTATAGAAGGGTTTATCGTAAGACTATAAAAGCTGCCAAGGACATTTATTATAATGGGAGGCTAGCCAAATCCGGTAATGTTGCTAAAGAGACTTGGGCTATTGTAAATGACTTAAGGAATAAGACTTCTTCGTCTGGCACAGTCTTTAATTCCACCTGAAGATTTAAACACTTACTTTGTTAATGTGGCTAAAAATTTAGTGAACACCATAACTCCTTCTCATGATTCACTTTCATATCTCCCTAAAGCAAATGAGAATTTACACAGTTTCTTCGTACTATACAACCTTTTGTACTTAATAACACCACTATTGACGTCGTGGACTCTGTGAGATTCTTAGGACTTGTTGTGGACAACTCTTTAAAATGGGACTTGCACATCGAAGGAACTTAACTCATCAACCTCTAGAATGGTCTATTATGCCCTTTTTGAGTCGCATCTTCGTTATGCCCTTCCATTCTGGGGTACTTGCTGCGCGACAAAATTTGATCGTATTTTCAAACTTCAAAAGAGAGCAGTTCGATACTTATTGGGACTAAACAGTAGAACTCACTGCCAGAATTTCTTTAAAAATTTCAAAATACTGACTCTTCCTTCCTTATTCATTTTTGAATCCGTTTGCTTAATCCGCAAGCACATATTCTCTATTCCGGAAAGGCCTTCTCACAACTATCCACTTAGGAATGCGGAGCACGATATTTATCTGCCAACCCCGAGCTCAGAACTAGTTAAGGGCTCAATACTGTACAATGCCAAGAAAATGTACAATCATTTGCCTTCGAATATCAAGTCACTTTCATTCTTTCCCGCATTTCGCAAAGCTCTGAAATCATACTTACTGGAGAGAGCCCTATATGCGGTAAACGACTTTTTTGTTGATGTTTAATCATGAACAATTTAGAATTTTAATTTTAATATTTTGATCATCTCACACACTGGTTAAAGGTCTAGTATTTAATATTTTATAACTCTTGATTTTATGTTATTATAACATGATTTTATCCATTTACAGTTTTCCTTTTGTAAAATTTTCTAGATACGCCTGTGTTCTGCAATGTCCATATATGTTTTATTTGTAATTTTATGACGTAACTTTTTTTTGAATTGATTTGTATTGTATGACCTTTTTTGTATTATTTGCATATTTATTTTTGCGCTTTTTTTGTTTTGCTTTGTCGATGAAGCTGTTTTGGCTTTTGGTACAATAAAGCGTTGTTTTTTTTTTTAAACTGAATTACAAGTTTTTCTCACAGAACGACTGGTCGACTTAATTAAACTTCTCCTCGACCGCTTCTTCGAATGCCTCACGTAATTCATAAGTTCTTTTGGAACCCTTGTTGTTAACCATACCGCCTAAAAAATCTAAAATGGATAGGTCAGGTGATCGAGGAGGCCCATGCAATTGGTCCACCTCTTCCTATCCCTGAGTTTGCATAATTAAGATATAAATAATTCTTAACATTTCTTTCATTATGAGGGGGAGTGTTATAATGAAAATCATGTTGGAACCACCCTATTGAAGCGCGAGGTATCTTTTCTAAAAAACGTCAGTAACGTTCACCGATCAACGTATCTTCGAAAATGTATGGCCATGAAAAGTTGATCCAAAAATCCTACACGCTTTTCTTTCTTCATTTGAAAAATTCATATTTACAATTTTTGTTTATTTTAATTTACAAAGATTGGTCATGTGGTCAGTGTGCGCGTACCTTAAAGCTTCAGAAGGTATACCTCCTCCTGTCATCAGAAGAAAACAATGAAATTAAAGCAATAAAGAAATTATTCATCATCATCATAAATTTCATCTTATCGCAATCTACCGCATTGTTGTCTACTGTTAGCTATGTTGGCTATTAAAAAAAATTATTATTTTATTTAATTTATCTAAAAGCCCTTACCGTTACTTTAATAGGGAGTCCGTTCCTGTTTATTTCCCTTCTCAAACTTTCTGTCAGAGCTGTCACCGCGTACTTTGTAGCAGGATAAACGGAAAATCCTACGAGATCTAGGGGCATATGGCCTGCTATGCTGTTTATATGGACTATGTGGCCTTTGATGTTGTTGGCTTTCATGCTGGCAATGGCTTCACGGGTGCAAATGCTCAGAGCTAGTATATTAGTGTCTAAAATAGAGAAAAATAGTTCTATTAGAGATACAAGCCTATATCTTAATAAGGAAATGGGGTAATGGGGATAGTTACCCTCCGAAGATGAAATTTATGAATAAGAGAAAATGGGCTATAAGATAAAATTGTCTCAAAAGAAGTTAATAATACCAATCAAAATAGGGAATCCAAACCAATGAAAGTATTTTTTTTCAATACCTTTCAGGGAAACTATAATTTAAATTTAGTACTTTATTTAAATATTGCCACTACCCTTCCCAGATTCAATCTCTAGATGCACCACTGTTGCTGAGTGTAACATCTTTAGTTGTCCAACAGCAGCAATGGAGGTCATTCTAGACCTAACACCATTGCACATTGTCGTCGGTAGTTATGCCAATGCGACAATGATTAGAATGGTTACTGACGGAAACAGTACCGGGAGAATTTTCAGGTCAGGGGCTTGGAACACCCTCAAAAAGAAAATTCCACTTCTCCAACTCCCAGTGGATGACATACCAAAAATTTACAACTTTGAGAAACACCTCACTGTAGTATTGAGTAATAAAAAGGATTGGAAGAAAGAGACGCTTACTCAGCATATAAAAGACCATACCATCATGTGGTATACGGATGCTTCCAAAACCAAAGCAGGAACAGGGATAGGAGTATTTGGGCCGAAAACTGAATACTTCGAACCAATGGGCACCTACCCCAGTATCCTTCAGGCAGAAATTTGCGCTATCGAAAGATGCGTACAATTTATCTTAGATAGGAACTATCGAAAACAGGAAATTGCCATCCTATCCGATAGTCAAGCAGTACTTAACGCGATCAACTCAGTAACAATCAATTCGAAGTTGGTCAAAGAATGTCTGGAGAAGCTCAACAAATTAAGCAAAGAAAATAAAGTCCTCCTACTCTGGGTGCCTGCTCACCAAGGGATAGAAGGCAATGAAAAAGCAAATGATCTAGCTAGAAAAGGAGCGAACACTCCACTAACTGGACCAGAACCGTTCTGTTTTCAAACGGGAACCAACTGAAAGCGGAACTGAAGAATCTGGAAGACTCCATCCGTAACTTGGAATGGGTGTCCTCCAACGGTCTAAGACACTCGAAAAAGTTCCTTAGAACTTATGACCGAGAAAAATCAAAGGTTTTCCTTGATTTAAGTAAAAACAATCTTCGGATTGTCACGGGGTTTCTAACAGGACACTGTCTCCTCTACGAACACCTCAGTAGGCTGAAACTGAGAAACAACGGCGAATGCAGATTTTGTGGGGAAAATGGGGAAACACCAGAACACCTTATCACTGAGTGCGCCGAGACGACGACCATTCGTGCCATGAACCTTGGTACGTCTGATGTCGAGGATGGAGAGCTGGCCTCGGTGGAGCCGTCTCATTCTTTTCTTAAAGCCCTGAGACTGTATGATGAGTTATAACTCGTTATAACTCAAGAAAGGGGAACACACAATAGATCTATAAGGTCGCGGTGTGTGTGATTAACTCTCCTCCTAAACATTCTACATACAACATCTTTAGTTTCATAAAAAAATAGCTCAGTAATGTGAAAACCGCCTGATGTATCTGTACTCATAAACGACTAACCCTGTAAAACTCACGAAAATGGGACACCATGTACATGAATTTAATTTCGCTAAATGTGTTTCATTTAATTTGGGCTTTTTGTTGAAATCCATCACGCTCCTGCTGTTACCGGTTTAATCCAAATACTGCAAATTAACAATTACTTTGCCCGCATGTTTACCAACTTTTCCAAAATATTTATCTAAGCGTTATATTATTAATATAAAGTTCAATTTAATTAAAACTTTTGTTGATTAAATAATTAATTATTCGTCTGACCGCTTTCCAAAACTCGACACAATAAAACTATCTCTCTGTTAAATTAGTTGACAGTACAGTGTTATCAAAATTAACTTTTTGACGGCATTGATTATTCTTCGCGTTTTGGAATAATATAGTGCAATATGATTGAAAAAAAATGGCGTCAATGACGGCCAGGGACCAAAAAAACAAAAAATCTGAAAAATCTAATCTATACAGGGTGGATCAAATTTCACGCTTTTAAAGGGAAACATCCTTTTCAATAGGAGACAGACGAAAACTAATATCGGTGTCTGGAGCTCAATTTTTATTAAAAACATGACGGTGAAAACCGCACATCGATATCTGTTACCGTTGCGGAGTTACGGGGTGTTTTTCAAAAATGAAAAATTTTGTATTTTTATGAAAACATTTTCAAAGCACCTTTTTACGTAGAATTTAATGGTTTAAGTATTTTTTTTTAAATTAATAATTTAAGAAATATCAACACTCGTATCAACAGAAAATTTGATATTTTATCTCCTCGGCGACCTCGATGGCCAACGAATGGGATCTTGGTTAGCTATTCAATTATTCTCGAAATTGGCTGCAAACATTTGCTGATAACTTCAGCATTCTGACGCGGTGCCTCGTCTTGCTGGAAAAATATGTTTTCGAGTACCATTGGGAGCATTATCATCAATAAGAGGTTCAAAGCCTATACAGGGTCCGGCAATAGTGCGCCAGGCATCTGTAGCTCCTAGAATAAACAACTTGAGAATTTTGTCTAAGTGCATACCTGAAGTATGTACCAGGATGTATTTCAGGAAAATATTTTAACTTCTATAGAGTGGCTCAAAAAAGTGTGAGTGGACCTGGATGATTTTTTTTAAATGGAACACCCTGTATATTATTACATTTTTGGCTTCCTTTCCGATCACTTTACATAACCCTAAGATATGAATAAATACATTTTGATAATTTCAGAGATATTAAAAAAAATCAAAAATATATATATTTTTCAGCCCTTTTTAAAAAAATTATTAAAAATACAAAAACTGTTCTGAAAACAAAACTATATTAGGTATTTACTTTAGATGGTCTGTACTTACTTTGCTATAAATAAGAAAATCGTAAATTATACAGGATGTTCAAAATTCTAAGCCAAACTTTCGAAAATATAAAATAATTTTTCTTCGTTTTTTTAAATGGAACACCATGTATATTATTTTTTCAATAGACGGAGAATTAAAAAATGAACCATTTTTATATTTAGAGTATTTCAAAATTTTTAACGGTTTCGCAGATATTTGCGGTTTTATATTTCATATGGCATTTTCCACAGTAAATTTTTATCAAAGCCACCCAGTAATTTTTCTCTCGTATTTTACCATTTTTGAAAGCGCCATATGAAATAATACTGCGTGTATCTGCGAAACCGTTAAAAATTTTGAAATACTCTAAATACAATAAATGTTCATTTTTAAACTCTCCATCTAATAAAAAAATAATATACAGGGTGTTCCATTTAAAAAAACAAAGAAAAAATATTTTATATTTTAGATAGTTTGGCGTAGAATATTGAACATCCTGTATGAATTACGATTACCATATTTATAGCAAAGTAAGAACAGATCATCTAAAGTAAATACCTAATATCGTTTTAATTTCAGAACAGTTCTTGTATTTTTAATAATCTTTTTAAGAAGAGCTGAAAAATATATATTTTTAATTAATTTTTTAATATCTCTGAAACTATGGAAATATATTTATTCATATCTTAGGGTTATGTAAAGTGATCTGAAAGGAAGCCAAAAATGCAATAATATACAGGGTGTTCCATTTAAAAAAAATCATCAAGGTCCACTCACACTTTTTTGAGCCACCCTATAGAAGTTAAAATATTTTCTTGAAATACATCCGGCACATACTTTAGGTTCGCACTTAAAGAAAATTCTCAAGTTTTTTATTCTAGAAGCTACAGATGCTCGACGCACTATTGCCGGACCCGGTATATGTATACTAGTTAAAAGTGGTGAACTTTAAAAAATTCTGTATTTCGAAGGAGATTATAACAAAATATCAAGTGTGCTATACTTTTGGAAAGGTAATTTGAAGTTCTTTTCATTTAATTAAAAATATACAGGGTGTCCCGAATAAAAAATCAACTTTTCTGTTGATAACTCTTAAATTATTAATTTTAAAAAAATAATATTTAAACCATTAAATTCTACGTAAAAAGGTGATTTGGAAATGTTTTCATAAAAATACAAAATTTTCCATAGCAAAAAAGTTACAGCGATTTGTTAAAAATGCAAACTTTTAAAAAACACCCCGTAACTCCGAAACGGTAACAAATATCGATGTGCGGTTTTCTCCATCATGTTTTTGATAAAAATTGAGCTCCAGCAGCTCCAGACACCGATATTAATTTTCGTCTATCTCGAGGTCTATCTCCTATAGAAAAGGATGTTTCGCTTTAAAAGGGTCGAATTTGACCCACTCTGTACATATAATTACCTATTATTTGTCGCCATTTGCTAATGTCTCCATCGATGAGTTCCGTTGCAGGAGATAGACCGGCGTTGTTTACCAGAATGGAAATGGGTCCAAGAGTTTCAGTTATTTTCTTAAAGGTAGCAAGTATTTCTTCATCTTTAGTTAAATCACACTTGAAAGCGTGTAATTTTCCTTTTTCATTCTTTAGTTCCTGAGCTATTTCTTCTATACGTTCAGAACGACGAGCCAAACCAGCTACCTACAAAATATAATTTTGGTAAAGTTCATTTAATTTAATTGTAAAAACTTATGAAAAATACTTTTGTTTTTGGGATTTACAAAATGAGTTCTTGCTAAACAACTATTAAAACATATTTTCTTTAAATATTTTAGTTTTTTTAATCTAGAATAGCAATACTATTCACAAATCATTACGACAAACTGCGTATATTTGATACCAATTAAAGTCTTAGTTAGTAATCGAGGGTACGATTTTTAAATTCATTGTCACAAATTACCTATAACAGATGCGAAAGAAACCACCGAATTACGCGTTCAGGTTTCTGTGACCTTCAGAAAGAGTTCATAGACAATCCGCATCAATGTATAGTTTGGGTTATTATTTGTTTGGGTGAAAATAATCTGCACTAATATGTTATCGAGGCATACAAAAAGGTCCACAGACCTCGAGACATACAAAAAATGAAGTCCATTTAGCGTGTGTCGCAATTTTCACACCTTAAAAAATTAGTTTTTTTATAGCTATAGCAACTGCAGCGACTATGAAAAAAGCTGTGTGATTTTCATAGAAAATAAGGGCACCTGTAATTCATTTGAGAATGTTATAAATCGCTAAATATATTATTTATCGCTAAAAATTTTATTAAAAATTGAACTAAAATTGTTAGTATCATTAAAAACAATTCAAATTCAAAAATTGTATCAGTCAAATTCCCTCATTTAAGGTGAATATTAAAGTAAATATAAATACAGCTCATTCTAAGCTCTACTTATCTTTAAGAAAAATTTAAATCATTGTTGCAATTGGGCCTTAATGCCATTTCGAATGAACAATAGTATTAATAATGTACATTATAATAATAATAAATTTTATATCATAGTGTGTATTAAAACTACTAAAACACTTTTAAATTGGTATTATATTAACAACTTTTGTTTTTTAATCCAAAAAAAAGTTACCAATTTTCTCAATCAAAATATTTGTGGTCCTGAAAAGGACCTTCGTTTTCCCATGTTCGTCAAGGTAGGTAATGGGTAAACGGTAAAAAAACAGGATAATGAAATTTAAAAAATTACAAAAATTGTTCAAAAGTGCCTCCCTCTTGCATTAAACAATAACCCAAACGATCATAAAATCCCCTCCTCACATTGGATAACATATCAGGGGTGACAGTGTCAAAGGCATTAAATATTTTCTGCCTTAACTGCTCCAAGTTTTGAATTTCTTCATGGCCGTAAATTTTAGATTTTATGTACCCCCATAAAAAGAAATCATTCACCGAGAAGTCAGGTGAAATTAAACGTCAGTCTAAACAAAACTGTCATTTTTGAAAACTTGTCAAAATTTGGACACACGCTAAATGGACTTGATTTTCCTATGTCTCGAAGTCTGTGGACTTTTCTGTATAATCTCACAGTAATTTAATAGATTGCTCGTCATATTATATCAGCTCGTAGGAGATTAGGAAAAAAAAGATATTTATAGTATAAAAAATTAATTTATTTAACAAAGACACCGATTATTTTTGGTGCGTAAGTCACTGGATATAGTATCATATAGTGCCGTAACATCTGGGCCGCTCCAAGTGAAACTAGTATCGTCCGCAAAGAGGCAGATTTTACCGCTAATGTCTAGATTTGCAATGTCGTTGATAAACACCAGAAACAAAATAGGGCCAAGTACTGAACCCTGAGGGACACCACATTCTATAGGCTTACAAGAAGACATAGACGTATCAATCCTCACAAGCTGCCTTCTGTTGCCAAGATATGACTTAAGCCATTCGAGCGGCACTCCCCTGAAACCATAGTATTGCAATTTGTTAATTAAGATATTATGATTTACACAATCGAAAGCCTTAGAGAAATCACAGAAAATTGTAGCTGTAGAGTGATGGTTATTCAGGCTAGAGTATACATTATTAAAAAGGTCGAACATAGCATCATTTGTGCAACTGTTACTTAGAAATCCAAATTGATGAGTAGAAAGTACTTTATATTTAAGGAGAAAAGATAGAAGCCTTTTTTTAACCAATCTTTCAATAACCAATTTACTAAACAATTTAGTCACACTAGCACTAACCAATTACTTAGTACTAATTAATAACTTAATTAATATTAGTACTAATTAATAACTAATTAATTACCACTTAGTACTAACCAATTTAGTTCTTTCTAACCAATTTAGTCACATAAGACATACAAACAAAAGAAGCAAACAGAAAATGGTTCACAGCCGTCCTTGACGTAGTTTTTTTTCGATCATACGGTATAAAAATAACTAATTCATTATCTCATCACTTAAAAAATGATTTATTGAACAATTTTTGCAATTCCTTTTAGGTTAATTGAAAGCAAATACAAATATATGATAAAATATTTTTTTCGAGTATTTTTAAATTTGTTTCGTCATAAATTACATTAAGGTGCTATTATACAGGGTGAGTCTTAAATAAGTGCAAATATTTTCAGAGCTGGTAGATCTCGATAAACGAAAGATATTTTCTCTTTACCGTTTTTCAAATAAGCCCAAAAAAACGAGTTAATTTACTTTGAAAATTTACAAAAAAGTGATTTTTTGCTTAAATTATGAGAATCACTGGATCTTTTTTGGGTTTGCTTTCTTGTAAATTTAATCTACTATCTATGTTACCATATTATCAAAAAATTATGTATTTTGAGTAAAAACTAAAAAAAATTTCAAAAGATTTCAAAAGATTTCCAAAGCTTTTTTCAAAAAATTCCAAATTTTCGAAAAAAAAATCACGAAAAACCCTCATAATCGTAACCCGAGAATACAATTTACTATTGAAAAGGGTATTAATACCATCAATTTTCTTGATGTTACAATTATAAAACAGTCTAATAGATTACAATTTGATATTTACAGAAAACCCACTACCACAGACACTGTAATACATAGTCAATCACACCAATCCTGGCAAATCAAAATGTCACCCTTTCATAGTTTAATTCATAGATTAGTAATGTTTCCACTGAGCCCAGAGAATTTTAAAAAAGAGTTAAATATTATTAAACAGATCGCCATCAACAATGGATATAAGTGTTCCCTTATTGATAATATGCTAAAGAAAAAACAAAACAAAATATTAATGAAAAATTTTTAATCCGCTAATTCTAAAGACAATAACAATTATCAACCTTTAAACTACATTCCTAATTTAACTAACAAAATATCAAATAATCTCAATAAAATAGGATGTAAAACTATTAACGTAAATAAAAGAAATTTAGGTCAAATTTTATTAAATAATAAAGACAAAACTAATGTCAAAAATAAGTCGGGTGTATATAGGGTGGATTGCAATACTGTGATGCCGTGTACATAGGCCAAACAGGTAGAAATTTAGATATAAGGATTAAAGAACATGTAAAGTATATTAATAATCTCCAGCATAGTTCTGGTCTTGCAACTCATTGTATAGTAAATAATCACAAAATTAATGAAAACTCAATTAAGTTACTACACAGAGAAACAAAAGGTAGACGTTTAAATTACATTGAACAGTTAGAAATACTAAAATCTGTTTAAACGAAAATAATGTTAATGACCAACAAGGATTTCTAAACACATTTTTATTACCCCTATTGTAAACTCTCTGAACCCACCCCATAGCAAATATATATATATATATATATATAGGAATCACCCCCTAAAGTTTTTCGCATTTGTTTTGTATATGTTTTTTTTTAATATTCCAGTGATAACCCATTTGCACGTCCCAGATGAATTTATCGATACTTTTTTAGTATTAAAATATGTAGCACTTATAGTAACTTTTATTCTCAAAATTTTAGCAGTAGCGTTAGCGTAGTTTTTATTGTTATAGTTTATTACCCCTAAAAATATTTGCACTGATTTTAGACTCACCCTGTATACATGGTGTCCCAATATACCATGTATGTACTTTTAGAAGTAAATAATTAAGTTATCGAACAGAAAATAACGTTTGTTTTCTTGCAACAAGTTTAAAAAGAATATCAAATTTTTTAACATATATTTTGTGAACTGAAATTCAGATTTTAATGAAATTTGAAAGGCTTATGTATTGTTAGAGCCTTTAACACTTGAACTTCACAAAAAAGACAAAAGGGTGCAAAAAGGGTGAAAACTACCCTCATTTCAATATGAATTCTGGTAGAAAAATTAAAAAAATATACTTCCTACCACTTTTAGAATAATTAAATAATAAATTCTTCGTATACTCGCTATTTAAACCGTGAATTTGTAAGTACTAGTTGTTTACGATATTCTCCGATGGTGGCAGCATCGGCGGAGAATGCATCAAGCCTATAAAGTATAAATGACACCACTAATTTATTCAAAGTACTTGATAATACATTTTGAAGTAGTTATTGTTATTAATATTTTTTTAAAAAGCCAAAATATAAGTTAATAAGTATCTGAACTAATTTTAATGGCATTTATTGCTAAATTAATAAATATTTTTACTTACGGTTACTCCTTCTTTCACTAAAGCTTTCACTAGTTCTCTGCCAATTCCAGCTGATGCCCCAGTTACAACAGCAACTTTACCAACGAACCTCTCTAGAGACATTTTACAAATACAATGACTTTAATAATTGTTTTTTATTTTCAATTTAAAACAGTCTGGCTGATATCTAAAAATAGCCTCTTAATATATGAGTACTTCGATATCTATCAAAGAAATACCTCTGATAAACGTTCAGATAATTTGGTTTTACTATGTTCCAGTGCTGTAAATATATTCGCAGGAAATATGCTTCGTGTTTTGTTTAATATGAATCGGTAATTTGTAGTAATTATTCAATTATTCCCACGAGATGAATATCTAAAATTAATTAGGTACATGTTAGAAATAAATGCGTATCTGACATGTTTAAATATATACTGAGAGATAAAAAAAATGAGAACACCTATAGGTAGATCCTACAATAAAAAAATTCGGAATTTTGTTTAAGTACAAACCTAAAGTATGTATGAAGATGTATTACAGGAAAATATTTTAACTTACCTACATAGGATGGCTCAAAAAAGAGTGAGTGGATCGGGACGATGCTTTTCAAATGGAACACCCTGTATATTATTTTTTATTAGATATAGAATTAAATAATGAACAATTTTTGTATTTAAAGTATTTCAAAATTTTTAATGGTTTCGTATTATTTCATATGGCTCTCTCAACGGTAAAATACGAGAGAAAAATCATGGGGTTGCATCATTTTAAGTAAATGTATAAAGTATGTATTGGGATGTATTTTAGGAATATATTTTAACTTCTATAGGGTGGCTCAAAAAAGTGTGAGTGAATCGGGATGATTTTTTTTTTAAATGGAACACCCTTTAAATTTTAGCAATTTTGGCTTCCTAGTCTGTACTTACTTTATACTTAATCCTAACATATGAGTAAATATATTTCGGTAGTTTCAGAGATATTAATGATTAAATAAGAAATACAGGGTGTTCACCACATACGACACGGATTATTGTAGCTAAACGATTAGATTTTTACAAGTTGTTTTGGGTTCGTTGAAGGACTATTAGAGCTACAATTTAAAAATATTTTTACAAGATACAGAGTGTCCCAAATAAATAAAAAATATCAAAGTTGTATTTTTTAAATAGAACACCCTGTATATTATTACATTTTTAGTTTCTACGATAAAAATTTTAAGGCTTCATTTCTCCAAGGGTATCAAAGTTTTTAATACTAAATATTTACTGAAGTTTAATTATTGATCAGTTATTGTATTGTAATAATAAAAATAGTACTATCTCATACAGAGTCCCTAATAATTTATTTTAAATAATTTCTAGCTTTAAACAGCAATAACTTGTTTAATTTAAATGGAACGCCCTGTATATTTTAGGAGAATCATACGCAAAATTTAATTATACATCAAATTGTATTATACCATTTTTTACCTACCCCTTCAAGTTTTCGTAGAAAATGCATTTTCTTATAATTCAGACATCATTTTATCAATATACCCATGCAATATTGACATTTTAGATTGTTTTGAAAACGATAATATTACCAGCCTATTTGTATACAAAAATGAAACTATTTAAATATTTATAAAAGAGTTTAATTAAATATACCATTAATTAAATATACCACCCCTATTTCCGCCCAAATATTAATTAATCACATATTTAATTGTGTTAGTTACTTTCTATAATTAGTGATAATTTTTGCCAAGTTTTATGTCAATTTTTAGCAAATGACGTCTAGGGATTGACCTCGCCAAAATTATTACCGATTGTCATTCCCCCGCCGTCGTCGATTTCGTTTTTTTTCTATCATTTTTATTCATTATCTCATCACTTAAAAGATGATTTATTGCACAATTTTTGCAACTTATTTTAGGCTAATTAAAAGCAAATAAAAATAAATGATAAAATAACTTTTTCGAGTATTTTTGAATTTATCTTATTGTTATAAATTACATTAATGTTGATATTATATAATGTACATGATGTTCCAATATTCCATAGATATAGAACCATATACATTCGTATTTTTAAAATCTTCTTCTTCGGGTTCCATCTCCTAATGGAGGTTGGAAATCATCATGGCAATTCTAACTTTGTTAACGGCTGCTCTGAATAACTGGTTTGAAGTCATTCCAAACCATATTTTATCACATATTTAATTGTGTTAGTTAATGAATTATTCTAAATAAATGTGGATTTGGAATCAGAAATCAATATAATTATAAGTTATGAAAATGAACGTCTCTGTTGTTATAAATAAGCATTCGTCAAAAAATTAAATAAAATTGTGTTACTTTTTACCACACTGTTAATACACATACAAAATTCAGTTTTTTAGTATTTGGAACAATTATTGTTAATCAACGCAAACAGTCTATTAATGTAGTTTGAATACTGGAATCATATTAATTGTTCCTCTTTTACAAATACTTAAACAATTTTTTTTTGTAATGACAAACTATATCGACAATATCAGTATTTGTAGCCTTTAAAAATTTGTTACATCTTTAAAAATAATCTAAAACGTCAATATTCCATGGGTATATTGATAATTGAGGTCTAAATTATAAGAAAATGCATTTTCTACGAAAACCTGAAGACATAGTTAAAAAAAAATTGATTTGATTGTATAACTGTATTGACAATACTCCGCGTCATATGGAGTGAACAACCCTGTATATATTTTTCAATCCTTCTTAATGTTCTTAATGTCCTGAAATCAAAACTATATTAGGTGTTTACTTTAGATAGTCTGTTCTTACTTTGCTATAAATTAAATATGGCAATCGTAAATCATATAGGATGTTCAAAATTCTACGCGAAACTTTCTAAAATATAAAAAAATGCTTTGTTTTTTTTTAAATGGAACACCCTGTATATTATTTTTTCAGTGGACGGAGAATTATTGTAGTATACTTCATTTTCACCAATCTACCACATAAAGGAACGTAAAATTCCTGTTTAATATACCCTTTATTTTACCTTTTGTGCTGCACTATCTATCAATGTCATCTCCGTCATCCACTTGCCTGCACTTTTAAACAACGATAAAGTGCAGTTTCACCTGTTCACGTTATATATTATAGTCTGCAAACAAAGAGATATTAAAAGCTACTTAGGCGGTATTATTTTGAATCGTGTTACCTGGCTTATAAACTTTGGGGGACGGCGAAACACTTAGGGAGATGAGCTGTAAAATGATTGCCAGACCGACGGCAAAGAGTGTTTAAGGTAAATACGGTGAAAAGTTTGAAAAATGGCACGGTTTAGGTAGGTAAGTGTTTTCCGGGTTCTTTTCAAACAAGCAAGGAAGAAAATTTATTAAAATCTCTAAACATTTTGTAATGCTTAAATTGTGGATTGTATGAGAGGTAGGAAGTTAATCACCGACAGGGTGTTACAAAAAACATGTGCCATATCTCTTGGGAAGATTCCTCACGCAAAAATTAGATATATTTTAGAGTGTTAAAATCTTAACATCCCTGATTCAAAAAATTCTTTACCAACACAGGATACCCGATGAATGGCGAACCAGCACCACTATCTTGATGTTTAAAAGAGGAGATAAGAAGCTGCCCTCAAACTATAGAGGCATAAATCTTCTAAGCACCACACTAAAACTTACGACAAAAGTGATAACAACCAAAATAAATGACTTAACATGCTTAGCAGATGAACAGCAAGGTTTCAGATCGGGCAGATCATGCACAGACGCGGTTTTTGTCATAAGACAGATAACAGAAAAATCAATCGAATATAACAAACCAGCGTATATGTGTTTTATTGATTTAGAAAAAGATCGTGTGCAGCTAAGAGACGTTGTACACCTTCTTTACAATAGGCAAATCCCACACAACCTCGATAAAACCATACAAAACATATATGAAGCGAACCAAATTCAAGCTAAAATTAACGGGGTCCTGACCGAACCAATAAATGTAAGCTGTGGTATCCGACAAGGTGACTCCCTGAGCCTCTTCTTTTCGACATCATTATGGACGAAATAATAGGAAATGTACGTTTACTGAAGGGATACAGTATGGGCGACCAGAAAATTACTATTTTATGCTATGCCGATGACGCCGTATTGGTAGCTGAAAATGAGAACGATTTACTGCGCTTATTACATCGATTTAATTGCACTGCTAAATCACTTAATATGATAATATCGACCCAGAAAACGAAATGCATGACGACATCAAAAGTACCACTAAGATGCAAACTGGAAGTCGAGGGCAATGTTATTCAGCAAGAGATGAAGTTTAAGTATCTAGGCATAGAAATCTCAGGATATGGTGATGTAGAAGCGGAGGTGCGAGAACGGACAACGAAGGCAACTAGAATAGCAGGATGCCTGAATGATACAATATGGCGAAATAAAAACATTGAGGTGGAGACTAAAGCGAGAATTTACAAGGCAACGGTACGACCAATAATGACATACACTGCAGAAACTCGACCTGATACAGCGAAAACTAAACAACTACTAGAAACAACCGAAATGAGAGTACTACGCAGAATAGCTGGAAAGACGCTTCTGGACAGGGAGAGAAATGAAAGCATAAGAAGAGCGTGCAAGGTGGAAAATGTAAATGAGTGGGTACTCAGCAGAAAGGAAGAATGGAACGAGCATATCAGCAGAATGGACAACAGGAGGATAGTGAGAGTTGCACGAGAAAATACACCGCTAGGTCGCAGAAGCTTAGGACGTCCACGAAAACGATGGAGCGACAACTTGTCAGTCTGACCGTTAGAGACGACGAAAGCAAACAGGCGATTCGCCTAGCATGAAGAAGGAAGAAGAAGGAAGAAGAAAGTCTTAACATTTTTTGGGTTAATTATAATTTTCTTCCAAGTAATTTTAGCATTTCTAATGAAAAATTTTGAGGGTAAAAGTTACTATAAATACGACATATTTTAGAGCTAAGAAATTGTCGACATATTCACGAGGGACGTGCAAATGGGTTATCACTGGAAAATTTTTCTAAAAAAAGCATGTACGCCATTGACTTTTTTTCATGTTAGAGAAATACAGTTTAATGCCGATTAAAAGTTGAGTCTTGATATTTTGTCGATTTCGCCCTCCTTGATGAGATAAACGCAATTTTATTAATTTACCTTGATCCAAGTCTAATAACAACCCACCAAGCAAAAAACCTCACTTTACATTTGCAACATTGCAGTCAATCCCCAAACAGTTTGCTTTGTAATGTTTGAATGTTGAACATTTAGAAATCTTGTGTCGTGATTGATGAAACCTTGCTACAGAAACATTGTTTTTGAATGGTGATTAAAACGTTTTTTCTGCAACATTGCAACAACGATTCAAATGAAA